ATATCTTTAATTTACTTGTTTTCTCATGCAATTTGAGTAAATTGACGTAAAAGTTCTTGTTTAGAAAATACATCATTGTAAATATTTATAAATTTTTTAACCAATATTTTCCTATCTTGGTTACATTTTTGACTGCTTATTATTTTTTATTGATAAAATATTGAAAGCAGTAAAAATAAATATTTTAGATGGCTAAGAAATCACTCAATAGTAAACAACGATGATCCCTATATTTTATGGAATGAATGTAAGAACATTCGCCGCTTACCTGTTTACCAAAAGTAATCTGCAAAATTTTGATTGTTGTGGAACTATCAAAAGACTTGAGACTGGTACAATTTACTTGTGGACTAAGAATGTTCTAGAAATTATCCTTTAAGTTTCATGCCTGTAATATAATGCGCATCTAAATTTTTCCGAGTTATTGCAAAATATTTAAGTTCTGAGAACAACAAAATTTTTTTGCAAGGTTTTTATTTAAAAAATAAAAGAGTATTTGTTCCTAAAATTACCATTTTTAGACAAAAATCGCAAAAATCAATAAGCGAAGATTAAATAAATTTAACTGATTAATTTTACGACTTAAAGAAATTTGGCTTGGGGTTGTGTTGCGAAAATGCGTGTTGAGGAAGTAGTGCGCGGCGGAATCGCGCGTCTGCAGTCGGATTAAACGCGCGCTCACTTGCAGACGGCAATTGGAATTAATAGTGCCTGCTGTGAATAGGTGCAGGTGATTTGGCTCCAGGAACATCTGCCCCGGCCTGCGTCTGAGAGGACGCGTGCCAGTGGTGCGCCCGAGGCCTCCAAAGTGCCTCCGTCCGTCCGTCTCCTTCCTCCGCATTCAAATCACACTCTCGCCGCCGCCGCCGCCAGTTTATTTCCTTGTGCGCTATTTTGCCAATGCATGAATACATGAATGGATCAAAATCATCATTATTATTGTTGTAGTACTTTAAATAAATTAGATATTTTTTTTATTTTAATTATATTTAAACATTTTTGTTTCATATTTCTATATTATTCATTTAATAAAGTTTCTTGATTAAAAATTTTTTAAGTTAAATTTAAGGTCCTTTTCTGAAAAGTAGATCTACAATTTTCAATTAATGCAGACTATATAATTTTCATTTATATTTAAGATTTAATCTAATCTAATGGGGAAATTATGTTATTATCTAGTTTAAAATAAAATTTAAATATGAATTCAGGATGCATTACGCTAATGCTTGATTAACTTATTTGAAATTTAAATAATGAAAAACCTTTTACCTATTTCACTGACAAATAGACTTGTCTATAGATCGTACACGCACTTTTAACATAAAATGATTGGGCAAATAATCCAATAAAATATAAAAATTTAATTGCGAAATACACGTTTATTGTGTGCAAATTTAAAAATTATTAATGATGCATTATAGATACTAAATCCATAAAATTACCAATTTTACTAGAATTCACAAACTTAATAAATTCGTGAACAATTTAAGAATATTTAATTGATATTATATTTTGGTTAATTAGACAGCTGTCCAATCGGCAGTGGCATTTTGAAATTATTGCTACCTGGAACAAATGCAATGTAAAGGATCCTTTTTCGGTGATCCATCAGATCATTTTCCTGGACTAAAAAAAAGGAGGCGCTTTTTTTTTACGTTGGCATATATATTTGCATTGTTCAGATAACCTAAATGCGTGGCTGCCAACCCCCTATAATTATTTATGTGTATTCCCAACGACAGAAATTAATTTCAACAAAAGAGCACTGGTAATACGATGCCTCATTAATTGTGATTTGATGTGTTTTCTTTTGTAAGCAGAGAGAGATAATATTCAAAAAGAACCCTGACTGACAGAAAAAGGCACAGGTATTATATCAGAAAGATTAAAAGGTCTGCCGGCGATTATGATTAGTTAGAATAAATAGGTCTCTTAACATCTTTTAACTATTAAAAAAAGAATCAAATTAGGCATGAATTAAGCTAGAATCAACAAAATCCTAAAATTTGGTGGCCAAAATGTTAGTAAAATCATTGCTTAGGCAACTGAAATTTACTCTTTTTTTAAATCATCTGCTAATTTTTAAACTACTATTGATATCTCATTAAGGAAGAAAATCCATAATTAAAAAAATAAAAATGTTCTCCGGCTGAGCTAGTGGAAGAAAATTGAGCGGATTTTTTTATCCTCTTGAGACTTTTAATTTCCAGCTGCCCCTGCACCCGTCTACCCTGGAGGGGGTAGGTGCTGGCTGAAAGGCCTCTGTGTGTTTGTGACGTCAGTGCAGGTGAGCCAAGAATTAAATAGCATAGGCCCGCGACTTGTGCACACACACACGGGCCGCCGGGATGAGCTTTGTGAATCAAGTATAACGGTGATTCCGCCGAAATCGCTTTCGTCTGCTGCATTTTTTTTCATATCAAATAGGAGGAAAACCGAGACCCACGCGACGAACACGAGCCTGGCTGCAGTTGTCGACCAACAATTGTTGCCAGAAAAAAATAACAGGCGTGGGTGCAACCTGATCGGAAGCAAAAGCGAGTCCCGCTACTTTTCCTTTCATTATTTTTCCCACTTGCACTTTTTGCATTTCCCTTTCGCTCGCAGAGGATGCGAGAGAGTTCCGTTCATTTTTTTTTAACAAGAGCAAAATTTTGTTCCTTTTTCATATAACTGTTTTTTCTCTCAGACAAAAAAGCTGATCGATAACCGTCTCAAACAGCAGCCCTTGCTCATCTAGTTGGACCACTTTTAGTTTTAGTGGAATAATAAAAATTTTCTCTTCAATTCGACCGAGTCCCGAATTAAGTTGGAGTGCAAAAAAGGGACATTTGATTTGGGGCAATAAAATTAGCATTTATCGCTTAGTCGATACGCTTTTTAGTTAGGGGCACGCGGCTCATTTGAAACTCTGTGCCCTGATCTGGCAACTTTCAAATCATACATGTATCTTAGCAGCTGTCAAAGGTGCTGATGTTGGTCCCTAATTTGAATATGTGTACTTTCTGATAACGGCATCAGTCTTTTCCTTCCTTCTGTGTTCAACTTCTCAGCTTGCACAAGATACTATAAATTTGCATTTTCATCTCAACTTGAATTTTTAATAATTTTTAATTATAGGAGTTTTTATGGTTACTTCTTTGAAAGATAATCCATAGAGAAACAGAATCCCACCGCAATTGTCACGGAAAATTTGAATCAAACTTATGAATAAGCCTACAAAAATAAAATTTTTTTGATGAAAATTTGAGCACTGAATTTGTAGGTCATAAAACGAGCCTGCACCTTGAGTTAATCATGCTTAAGGTATGGCCCATTGTTTTCTCGAGGAACAGCATGTGTTTGGCTGACACTGCAGCGCTATTTAAAGAAGTTTTAAAATGCACACGGCGGCGTCAGTTGGCAACAATCACAAATAAATAACTGCGATTGAATGCGGCAAGAGCGTCCTTCCTGTGTGTCTTGATTATCGCCAAGATTAAAATCACATGCGCTAATAATAAACAGAAATAAAAAAGACGCATGTAACATTTGGCCAGCACGCGGCTTTAAAGCAGCAGGTACTTTAAATGAAGCAAAACAAGCCATAAATTAAAAGGCTTAAGAGGGAGTTGTCTGAAATTTTTAAAAGGGGCCAAAGAAGTTCATAAATCAGAATCGAATTGCCGCCGCTGTGTGTGATTCTCTGATACATATATTTTTGGCGTTCAAAGTGCCCAACATGATAATTACTGCACACCATATTTGTATTCACCGGCTTGGAAAAAGTCAAAAGGAATGCGAAATGTAATTGCAGCAAATTTTGCCCGTGGCTCCAAGGAGTGCACAAAGAACACTTAGGGTCCATAAAATTTTTATTTTTCATACCCTCAGCTCGCACCTTTTGGTGCTTTTTTTCTTACAACTCTTATCGTGTAATTTGGCTCGCCTGCACATTTTACAGCACCCATTTGTGTGAAATTATGGATTTCGTGGAAATTTACTGCACTTAAATAAAAGTGTGCTCCGAGTTGAGCTATAGAAAATTTGCTTGTAGGTCTCAATTAACCAACAGCGTCTTTCTGTATTAATATGTGAGGACATTAAATTTACTCTCAACTAATATAAATCATAGCTGCTCTCATAACCAAATGGCTTGATGGGAGATAAATGATATTTTGTATTTTCATAATTGCATGAAAATTTTATCAAGTGTTAGTGTTCAAAAATTAATTAAATAAATAAATAGGAAATTATAAGTACGCCAAAAATTCACGTAGTTCCATGAAAATAAATGTTTGCATTAGTATAGAACCTACAGTAGAATGCAGCACCAGTACAATAAAAAATTAAATTTTGCATTTCATAAATGCAGAAAAAATTATTAGCTTATGCCATTGCTTCTTGCTAGTGGGAATTAGGAGATTAAATTTTAAACATACAAGTTCTGGAATAAAAATTTACTGGAGGATTTCGCAAAAGTTGTAGCATATTTATTTTGTAGCTTTTTAGTCCACAAATAAATTATCTATTATAATAAAATATATAATTCCGTCAAATTATTGAGTGGCAAAACAGATCTTAAAATCATTATAATTTCATATTTTTCAGGATTTATTTATATAAAATTTTTTTAATGATTTTTTAAGATAACCAAATTTTTATGGTTTAATTTCTTCCACTGTTACATGTGTGCGCCTCGTTTTTTTAATGGCATAATTACTTCAGCGTGCACAAACTGAACCACATTTCGCTGCGATGTTTTAATTGTGTCATGTGCATGCGTTCACATAATAAGCGAGTTGTAAAACAATTGGCAATAATTTTATATCCGACAAAAATGCACCAAAGCGCAGGGAGTGCGCCATAAAAATGCAGAGCAGCAAATTTGAAAACATTTTAATGAGCGGCAATAAAATGTAAGGAATTTCACAACCGGACGATTTTAACGATTTTATACATGTTATGAAAAAAATTCCTGCCGAGGAAAGTTTGCAACAAAAATAATCATATGGAAATGTAAACTTTTATAACGTGCCGAAAATCTAAAACAAGCAAAGTTCGTTAGTCGCCCTGGCAACGAGAGTCGCTATTGATAAAACTTCCCCTCACTGCAAATGAAATCGTGAATATAATTCCTCTCGTTTCATTAATACAGAAGCAGAGCCAATCTGGTTAGATTGCTACTGGTTCGAATTTCAAAATATTTTGTTTTGAGTCGCATGATGGGGGATTTGAAAGACAAGAGCATTCATTTCACGGCGCAGACAATATCCGAGGAGATCAAACAGATGCCCATGTATAAAGGCTTTTACAACGAGGTTCAGGTAAAGATAATTTAAAAAAATGAAAATATAATTTTATGGCATTATAATTTTATAGAAAATTGTATCCTCATCATGCGTCTCTAAAACCAATTTCCGTCCGAGCCTCCTTGCTGCCATGCGACAAACAGGGTTGGAGGTCGAGCTGAGGAACACCGTTTTCCACTGGCTCAGGGCTCACCCTGGACCGAAAGGTCGCTACCCTTCTGGCAGTGTTATCGGTTCGAAGGAGCCAATTTCGTATTTGAAGAAAGCACAGGTTAATTTTTTAATTTAACAAATTTGGCTAATAATAATACATAAAATTTAAAAGGTTCAATGGGAGAAGAGAATTCAAAAGTCACTGACTTCAATGTGCACAGAGCTAAATCAAGTTCTCTCAAAGTGCAGGACGGCTTCTGATAAAGAGGAGATGACAGAAAAGTGGACAGAACACAGCACTTATGACATAGGCAAATTTGAAATAAATTTTATATTTTAAATTTTTAGGATACTTTCAATTATTTGTTTATTCAATAAAACATTTTTATTTTTATTTATTGGACTTATTCAATTACTTTTTTCTCTAAATAAGTTAGAAAATTTTAATTTATATATTGCAGATTTAAGCCAGTATCGCCCAGTTTACGCACCGAAAGATTTCCTTGATGTGCTCCTGTGGATCAGAAGTCCAAATCACAGAAGTTTAGAGTAATTTTTTCCCATTTTTAATAAATTAAAATTCACGTGCAAAACATTTACAGTGGCGAAGGAACCTGGGATTTCAGTCAAATTCCGTTAAAAGTAAAAACCTTAAGTGAACTTGTAAGGTTATATCTATACAAAATGATTAAAAGAAACCAACCTCTGTATTTATTAGAAAAGTCTCTTTCAAGAAATTACCCAAGGGGAGCCTTTACTAGGAGTAAATTCTAGTATGCCAGCCCAAAGTCACGCTAATATAGAGGCCGAAAGAATAAATCTCGGAGAAAAAGGTTAGCAAATTTTAAAGTTACCAGTTTCTGTGGAAAATTTTATAAAAATTCCAACTTTAGTAATTTCAGGCAATCACGCTCCCGTGGCACAGGAATTCCTCAAACGCGGCTGTCCCAAGTGTTTAAGGGGCAAAATCTGGGCGCAAGTGCTCGGTTCACAAGTCAAAGACGAGGTTTAAATTACAGTATTCTTAATAAATAAATAAAATTAAAAAATTTTAGCACCTGGAACAATTTGAGGAGTTGAAGCAATTTGTCCTTCAGTATGATATGATTGTGGACAAACTTCTAATCAAAGTACGTTAATTTATTCAAAGTTGAGATCGCTGGAATTTATGCAACCTGTAGAACAACTTGGTGTATCCGGTTGCATAAGCGCTGCAACGCTCACGTATTTTGTCCGCTTTCTGGATTTTCTCTCCTAATAGATAATTTTATTTTTCAGGATGTACAACTAACTGCTTCCAATGACGATCAATATTTTGTGTTTGAAGACGTTCTTTACCAAGTGAGAAATTATTTTATAAAATCACCCTGAAAAAGAATTAATGATAATAAATTTATTTATTTATTTAGATTATGCTATGTTTTTCGCGGGATACGGAGATTCTGAAAATATTTAACAATAGCTCAAGCACCCCAGTGACTGGTTTACTGAAGGGTAAAAATGGAACCTTTGAAAATTCAATTGTTTTCCCACCAAGTGGTGTAATTCCTTTCCACGGCTTCACTATGTATGGTGAGGTTTTTTACATTATAAAGTCAACGAATTTAATTAAATTAATTGCGCATCAAATTTATTCCCAGCAACTCCATTCTGCTACATGTACGACGATCCAATAAGCCTGTACTTTACGTTCCGAGCTTTTTACATGAGATATTGGTTCAGGCTTCATGAAGTTTCCTCACATGAGCAGGGAATTCTTTCGCTGTGTCTCCTTTTCGAGCGTCTTTTGCAGAGGCACGAACCGACTCTCTGGTCACATTTCAAAAGAATAAACATTCAACCGTAATTTGAATTTGAAACCAAATAAAAAATAATTGAAAAAAATACAATTTACAGGATAAAAGTTGTTTTCAAGTGGCTAATGCGTGGATTTTCCGGCCACCTGCCGCCAGATCAATTACTGGATTTGTGGGACTTAGTCTTAGGATACGACTCGTTAGAGGTTTTCCCAATTTTGGCCGTCGCCATCCTTAGTTTTAGAAAAGACAACATCCTTGATGTTGACACAATACAAAATATAGAGGTTTGAATAATTTATTACATTTACATTTTTGATATGTTCATTGAATATTTTGCAGGCTGTCCTTGCAGATTTGTCATCACTTTCTGTAATCGCTCTTGTTCAGTTGGCTTTGATGAGAGACACGATTTAATCAAGAATATACATATTACATACCGATTGATCCGTACTTGAAAAAGTTTCAAACGCTTCGCCTGCGAGCTATGCAACCTGCATGCCATCATCAGCATTGGTTTTCCCATAGCGTGCTGCCGGCTGGGAGACTATCAAAATATTAAACATTTAATATTATAAAAAAAAGATTAAAAAATTTCAATTAAATAATCAATTTTTAAAATGTTTTAATCGGTTTTTACACGGTGGTCCTAATTCATTTTTTTTTCTCGAAATTTGGGTTTATTGATTAAGGTTCAAATTTTACGATACCACCCTTTTTTGGCAGGTCTATGCAACAAGGTTGAATATTTCCAAATGTAGGTCTCGGAAGAGCAGGATATTGTTATTCTTTAACAATAAAAACTCACAAAAACCCATCGAGGAAAAGCCGAATTTAAATTCAAATCACCATGAAACAGAATTTTAGATTGATATACTTTTTGTTCACTTGGTCCGCCACCACATTCCAGAAAATCAATTTTTGTATTTTAAACTGGGGAACTGTAGTAAAATTCGCCTTATTTTTTCCACCCAAATTACTGTTCAATAATTAATTTTATTGAATTGATAATTTTATTTGAATGTATATATGATGTACCTGGGCAGTAATTGCCTTCTGATACAATCAATAAAGACACTTTGCAACTAATTTGTGCACATTTTCTTGTATTTGGTTAAAAAAATAATATGACGAGGGAACCATCGAATATACAGAGTACATGTATATTAATTTGTTATAATTAATAAATCAATGAGCTTTGTAAAAATTTTATTGGGTTTCACAACATTAGTTTAATTAATTTAGAATTTAGATTGCCAAGTGCATAAATGGCAACAATGACATTTTTTGATATTTCAAAAACATATAATTGTGAAAACACCAACAATTGAAAAAAAGCAATAATGGCAAAATAGATTTTAATAGTCATTCTTCTTTTGATTTCGTTAGGGTAAGATTGTTTTTTTGAATTGTGAAAGAATTTTTTAAAATCTAACTGAAATTTTCGTTTTTCAGGTCTGAGAAGATGCAGAACGGAGCACCAGACAGAATCTCGACACACAACGGCATGCAACAAAGCTCTAGATTTGACCAGAGGGCAGAACGCTCCTATGAATGCTAGCAGAGCTACTGTGGACAACGGAGGACGTCAAGTGAACGCTTCCAGCTCTTCGTTGACTCAAGGTCTGGTAGTCAACGAGAGGCAGGGCCAGGACGCTCCTCTGCCTGCTAGCAGAGCCATCCTGGACAACGGAGGACGCCAAGTGAACGCTTCCAACTCGTCGTTGACTCAAGGACTCGTGAGCTCCTCTGCCTGCTAGCACCGCTTTTCTGGACAACGGAGGAGGCCAGGTCAACTCTTCCAACGCCTCGTTGACTCAAGGAAATTTGTAAAATCTCTAACTTAAGAACATAATTGTTTTTTTTTTCTAATTATTCTCAAATTACTAATTATTGAATTACAACTGGTTAATAATTTCAAACAATGAGTCTGGTTAAAAAATAAAATAGCATGTACTGTGAAAATTGATGTTATTCTCTTCAGTATGCGCAATTTAAGTGCTTCTCATTCACAAGTTTCTAATTAAAACTAATTTTATTATGATGGAAAATTAATCAGTGATTAAATTAAGGTGCACAAAACATTCACCTTCCCTAATTAATTCTAGAATTAGCGGAGAAAGTTTCTTCGTCTCTCCTCGAGGACCATTCTTTGTTTTTACACTAGACTCTGTAGCCGCGCACATCTTGCAGAGTGAAAAAGAATAAGCAAAATGCGTGTGAGAATCGGGCCGCGCGTTTCAACTCTGGCTGACAAACAATATTGCACTGCTCGTTGTCGGAACTGGGCCGTTATTCCCCTGCGTCAGCAAGACGCTCACCACTTTCAAACAAAACGTTTGTTTTCTTCGTAACTCGCGCGGTCTAACCCGTGGGACTCGTAATTAACGCAAATGAGCATTAATGCATGTTTTGCTTGTACAGAGGTTTAATCTCGGTGCTCATCAAGTGTGTCAGCTATAGTGAATAGAACTTTGGAATGGTAAATAATTTATTGTGCAAGGAGTTTTCTGTAAAATATTTATTTATTTTTTAATTAATAAAAATATTGCTGTGAAAACGTGCGCATTACGAATGCCTACACCAAACATTTTAAATTATACATTTTTCGCAGTTATTAAAACGTACAAAAATACTCATAATATACATTTCAGTCTATTTAAGTTAGTGGCACAATCTTTCTTTCGATAAAATAATTTAAAATTCACGTATAAATTCTGAAATTTTTGGCCAGATCTTTTTTTATGGCGTGTGACACTAATTTGATTGAAAAATTGCTATATTAAAATTTATTGCGGAAAAACAAATTTGCATAATACAAAAAAACTAATTGAGCTTTATGCGGTGTGTGTTTGTGAAAATGATACATATATATAGAAAAATAATCATGATGCCTGTGCGGATTTCACTCTATATGCACTAAAAATTCAAAACATAAAAAAAAACACATCTCAATTTTCAGTCCCCTCTGCAAACACAACTCAATATGGCAGAAAGTGACTCGCAAACTAAAATAGCCTCAGGACGTCAACTTATTTTTTTAATAATTTAATCCTATATAAAGTTGACAATTCCCCAGAGCGATTTCAATTTGTTTGTTGAGGCACTTTAGAGTCGCTAATCCAACGAATCACGACAAAAAGGCAATTGGTTTGCGTTTGAGGTCGACGGCCGAAACTTCCCTGACTGCGGCGACCACCTCTTCCTCGTCTTCCTTGGCGTCCTGCTTCTGAGGGGAGGCCTTCTCTACTTTCACCGGTTTGATTGATAATCGCGTCGCCTTCTTTTGCGAAACGGAGCTGCTCGAAGACTCTGAAGTTACCACTGTCACAACCTGCGTAGTGAAATAAAAAATTAGATTATTTTATAATTAATGAAACTTGAAATTACATAAAAAAATGCACTCAAAATAAATTAAAGCCTTGCCTTAGAATGTCCAGTGGCAGTTTGGACGCTTTGTCCATCAGGTGGAGAGTAGGTAGGCACAGTGGTCAGGTCAAGGCTGACACTTGAACGTCTCTCAGCAGTAACTGGGCTGTTTGCTAATTGTAATTCAAAGAAAGAAGAATATTATTAGAAACGCAAAAAAAATGTTTTTTTAAATTTTTATAAGCTGAAATGATGTTATTCATATTTAATCATTTTTTATTAAATTAATTTAACAAAAATAACTACATTATTGTGTAATTTTTTAATTGTTATTCTTTTTTACAATAACATACTTGTTGTTGCCTGCTCGAAAGGATCAGGAGTGGGAACTGTGTAAAAGCGATTTCCTCTTGAAGGCGGGGTAGACGTACGAACATCTACAATTTGCGCTACAGAGGCGATTGTCGGTCTGACGGTGAACCGCGGCGAGCGGAAAGCACTGGCATCAATTGCGACTGGACTCTTGGTTGTCGGCGTCGCCTAAAACAAAAAAAAGTTATTTGTTAAAAAAAAATTAAAAGTTAATAATTCAAAGTAAAAAAATTCATTCTCAAATTTTTTTAAATTTTTTACTTCTTGTCAAAACAATACAAATAATAAAATATTTTTTTCCAGTTTTACGACCACTAATTTTAGGGTTAATAACGAACCTCAAGGAATTTAGTGGCTGCCTTGCTCTTCACAAAATAGCCCTTGGCCGATTTCTCGGTGGAAGTCGTGGGAATTTTGGGGGTGTCTGTCGTGACGGCGGTCCACAGGTGGGTGCTCATCGGCGTGACCACATACACCTTCTCGTTGGAGCTTTTCGAGAAGCCAACCGCTACGTGGTCCCAGCTTGTGGTTCGTCTCGGTTCCGGTGTGGTCGTCGGGTAATCGGTCGTGAATTCGGTGGTCGTCTCTTCTGTGGTCGTCGAAGCCAAAGTCGTCGTTGTCGTCTCCGCCACTTTCGGTCTCACCGCGTGCTTGATGATGCCGCCCTTGCTGAAGATCTTGGCGTGGACGTTGTGCGCGATGCTGCCAGAGGGCTCGTGGTCGAAGTACGTTGGTCTGGGGGTGGGTCGGAAGTACGAGGGTGAAGTAGGGAAGTAGTCGTTGGGGATGGCCTTGGCAGAGGTGGCGGCCGCCACGGTCGTCGCTTGTTTCTGCGGGTCGTCCACGATGTTGTTGGTGTCCGGGTTGCTGAACTCTTGGGCCGTCCACGAATCGATATTGTTTTGCAACTTGAGCAGGTTCGAGTTGAGGGCCTGTTGCTGCTGCTTCTCCTGCTCCCTGATGAGCAAATTCCTCAAGTCGGAGGCCAAAATGTGCGTGACCGTTTTTTCGGGGGTAGTGGTGGCGGGCGCGGGGGCTTCGGTGGACACGAGTTTTGACTCTTGAAATTGGTGGTTGATCTCACGGTGGTGCCACTGGCTGCGCAAACCGGACGCTTCGGCGTCCAGCAGCGTATTTTGTGGCTGCGAGGCGGCTATATAAGGGACAATGATTTGAATTTTTTTGGGTCTTTTGATCGACTCGACGTGATTATTACCTGCTTCGATCAGGACCGGACCGCTCTCGGCAGGGGGGCCGGACGGAGACCATGGGGCTTGGGTGGTGGGCACCGGCTGGGGGTTGACGTGCAAAAGTCCGTTTCCGCTCGGGGGAATGAACTCGAAGCGATAGGGCCGGTTAGGGGGTTGCTGGGGCTGCTGGATTTGCTGGGGCTGTTGGGGTTGTTGGGGCTGGTGTTGGGGTTGCTGGGGCTGCTGAGCAGGCAGGGGTGGGGGCAAAAGTCCCTCGGCTGAAGGTGGCAGTTGTTTGAAAGTGCCGGGAGAGTTAAAGTGTCTCGTCGGGGGATGGAAATTGGGCACGTGTAAAAAGGTGTTGGGCTGTTGGGGAGCGGTGAAACCGATCGGGGGCAGGCGTTGCGCTCCCGAAGGGAAGGGTGCGCCCGAAGGACCGGTGAAGGCGAAGCCAGGTGCACTCGGGGCACTCGGGGGTTGCTGGAAGGTCGGAATTTGGAAGGGTGCCGGTGGAAGGTTCAAAGGGGGTTGTTGTTGCGTGGGAATGGGGGGTGGGAGTGTTTCCTGAACCGATTGTTGAGCAGGTTGGGAGGTTATTGACCCTGAAGCGATTTGGACCGAGGGGGTGATTGTGAATCCCTCTTGCCGTGTATGATCAACATTGACATTTTGATAACTCGTGCCACCACCGATTCCATGGTTAATCGACAAAGGAATATTGTTGTCGTTGTTATTGTTATTATTGATATTGTTCTCCAGCACCAAGTTTTGTGTCTGAGGTGCCTCGTTGTGCTGCACCTCGCCCACGGCAGGCACGTCAAGCCTGGTCTCTTGGGCCTCATGCTGCACGTGCGAGGGCAACGCTTTGCCGGCGTCAATATCAATAATTGGGGACTGTACAACATTCACCGGGTACTCGATCGAAGAAATGAAATCGGCCACAGGGATGCTCTGGACGATTTCCGATTGCGAACCACCCTGGAAACCTGACGGGGCGGCCACGTGATCCTCCAAAGCGATCGAGCCCTCGGGTCTCTGCGAGCCGGGCAGATAGCCCTGGGGGAGGGGGGAGTGATGGTAAACGGGTATGTTGGGCTGAGCACCACCATGCGAACCCTGGTGCAACTGCGGCGCGTTCACCACCGCAAAAACGGCACCGCCGTCCTGAAACTGGGCATGCGGAATCGGAATCCAGGGTACTTTGTTACAGGGGTTGCAAGCCTTGAGTTGGGGCCCACTCGGAGGGGCGTGGAATTTGCCCCTCGGAGGGTGAGGAGGACCGTAATTGGGCCCGGGCGGTGGGCGGAAGACAGGACTGTGGTGCGAGGGTGCGGCGTAGGCGCGGGAGTTTTGCTCCTCGCCAGGGAAGATCCAACTGTAGAGCTTCGACAGCGTTTCGCCGCCAAAGCCAAACCTCTTCTGGGCGACGTGCTGTCTGACTGTGACCTGCGGAGGTTGGCCAGGGTCAGCAAGGGCGGCGAGGACGCACGCAAAAAGGGCTGCTAGTGCGAGCAGAGCCTGAAAACAGAAAAAAATGAGCATAAGTTTTTAAACACAACAAATAATAAATTGTAAATAATTTCTAGTTTTATCAAAATAAGAATTATTCTAGCTTCTTTTCAAAACAAAATTTTTAAAATATGATAATAATAAGGTTTGAATAAAACAAGCAGAACCTATCATTTTTTTTCTTAATAGATTTCTCTCTCATATGTTTTAGCAACGATAAATTTTTGATCCTGTTTACTTTCGATCCGGATAAGTTTTATTGAGAGTGCGGCTTCCTGCGAAGCGTAGTTTAAAAAATTCGCAGCGAAACTCGCGCCATTTAGCATTATGAGAATTTTTTCACATCCTCTCCGCTCGATCGAAGGGCATTCCGAGCGTAAAACGCTCTATTTCGCGGCAATTAATGCACAGAAAATTTGCTGATTATAAATTGGTTTTCTATCAGCTAAGATCTTATATTTTTCATAGAAAGAAAGTTTACAATTAAGTAAACCAATAACAAGCAAATTGAAAGGGAGGCTAATTGGCAAGGAAACTCAATCCGCCTCGCGAAATTCGCGGCCGTTTCCCAATTAGATTTTTTGCTTATCACCATAATTATCGCCGGCGATGAGAAACGATCGACTCATTCCGCGTGTGCATGCGGTTTAATTCTTGCGGACGAAAATATGTGTGTAGCTGTCAGTGACCCTGTTTGATCGAGAGCTGGCTGCCGGTCTATCGCTGGACCTGCTGGCGGAGATGCGTTTCTCATCAGCAGTAGGTCAGTGGTGGCCCAGCTGCGTGCCGTGTGCGGCTAATAAACAATATGAATATATGTGCTGAATAACGCTCGTAATAATTTTCCTCACTTATATGAATATAATATGTGCTTTCCTGATTCGCACGCTACAACAAAGCGGCGGCCGCAGCACGCGGGTTTAGCTTTAATGAAAAACACTCGCCAAGAGTGAGAGTCATTTTAATATCAGACCGTCCATCACGCATTTCCTAACAGTTTCCTAGTGCAGAGGGCCATTTGTTTTTTAGATTGGTGGGAATTCGTAACAATATCAAATTTGCGAGAGAAATTCACTCTTACTCTCTAACTCTCTGCGAGATCCAATCTGGCAAGGATGCATTTTTTTTCTTTTACAAATATTTTATAATCTTGAGAGGTTGTGCAAGAAAGAGATTTTGTCAATTTTATCCAGTGAGATGAGCAGATTAGGAACAGAGAAAATTGAAAATTATCAAGAGATGTCTGATGGTTTTCAGTTTGAGCAAAGACGAGCCGCCGCCTTAATAATAAATCAGTTCCGGAGGTTTCATAGATTAAATCTAGTGAGATCACTTTCTGTTTTTTAGGTAAGCAGCAAAAAATTGCTCAATTTAAAACGATTTTCTGCGTTTTATGCGTATATATTGAGTGCGTATTAAGCGATTTTCAACAGATTGATTGATCCTGACTGACAGCCAATAGAAAGTATCCCTCGTAATTCTATTTGAGACTTAAGGACTAGTGCTTGTGTGCAAGATAAGAGGCATTCTTGATAGACGAAAAATGGCTCACGCCCAAAATATTCTATTAAGCTAAATTAATATTTTAGAATTATATTATTTATAATTTATTAACAATTCTGTACCTTCATTTGAAAAAATTGATGTGTCAAAATTTAAACTAATTTAAACTACATTAACTTGATATTTAAATTCAATTAAAAAAAGCATGCATAGTATAATAAAAAATATTAACATAAAATTATGTATAAAAATTAGCAAGTTAAAGGTTGAAAAAAATATCATTATTTTTTATTTTGATATTTTAAATCCAACCAAGTGTTAAAAAGGGCATATATTTTCATTTATTTCCCTTAATAAAAGCAAAAAGTTTCTTTTGCAAGACATGTTTTTCCATAATCGTTTTGGTCTCTCCCTGAAAAATGAAATCGAGTGACTCTTACTCTCGTTTTGGCAAGCGATCGATTGGCGAATTGTTGCGTCCGTGCCAGTAACTTTTACTTCGCGCATTAGCAATGAAATTGAACTATCGGTGCACGCCAGCAGTAAATACTGTAAAATTGCTTCCAGTTTGCAGCCAAATCAAAGTAGCTATTTTTATTTCCTCACATCACGCGACTCCAATTTCACTGCGCAGAAAGGCGTCTAATTGGATTGATGAAAACTTCAATCAACACAAAAAGTAGTCCTTAAAAAATGACAAAAAAAGTTTGTTTCTTGATCAGCAATGAACGGACCAAAGTTGTTTATATGCCAATTTCGCCAAACCTAATTTGCAGCTCGGCTACTTTTTCTTCATTCCGATCGGAAAGGAGCAAAAAGAGAACCGTTCACGAAAAGAAACTACTGCAATAAAGCGTGATAATTGAGAACTTTCAACCAACAAACTAGGCGCCCGTCGTTTCAATTTGGCCTCGCAGCCAACACTTATCTTCTCTCTCCTTTTTGTTATTCTTGCAGGCTTAATTAAGATTTGATTTGCCACCATGAAAAACGGCTCTTTTATATCAAAACTGCGGCCGGCCGAGTGAAAAATATAATTATCACGATCAGCCTCACTTTAGGAGGGCCACAGTTGATGCGTTTTGGTGCAGCTAGCTGGAGATTCAAAGCATTTGACGTCTGAATTATTTCTGGAGCTCTTTTCTCCAAAATGCTACTTTCTTACTAATTCTAGCAATAAAATTAAATTTTTTAAATGACATATTTGATTAATTAATGAGATGATAAAAAAAATATAAAGTACTTAAAGTTAGCAGCATTATACTTTTAAAGAAAAAAGGAATTGAAAAAAATCTTCCTTATAAAGATAACAAACTGTAACTACAATTATTTATAATAAATACCCTTCGTTACTGCTTTCCTAACGAACATTTATAATTATTTATTTGTTTATTTATTTATTCTCCATTCAGACAATCATTCCTTTAGAATTATTTGATCAAGCATTAATATTAAATGTAAGAAATACAATAAATTTTGTGTTTACAGTAAGAGAAACTTGTTATTATCTTTCTTAAATATATAATTTTTAAATTCTACGGCTGACCTTAAATTTCAGTATTACTTTCAACACTCATGAATGACGGCTTTTCACACAGTCATGAAAATGCAAGTGCTCGGCATAGAGAACAATCACAATTTTTACACCCAATTGCAAAACACAGAGCACCTAGACCATTTGAATGAACCTTATTTGTTAATGAGCGGCCGCGTGCCAATAACATCAAAACGCTCTCGCCGTTATTTATTCTACAATATTATACAAAACACGCCGCGTCTCTTATGAAATGACACGCACACCGCGGTACGCATGTAAACGCGACTGTTAACAAATCCGCAACATGCCTCCGCATGCAAAAGTGAACGAGGCATGCTCTAGTTTGCTCTTTCTATTCCAAGAGGAACGTGCGGCAAGTTAACATACAAATATATAAGTTGGACGAAATGTGAAAAACATTTGAATACATTATTTCTTCCTTTTCTGTACAAAAGTATTTATGCAAATGAGAGAGGAGAGCGAACAGGTGCAAAAAAAAACTCAAAGTAAGGCGAGTGTTTATATTTGAGGTTAAAAGAAAAAGAATTCCGGCTGCGTGTGTGGGAGAGTGGAATAATTTTTTCAACACGTTTTACTCTTCTTTTCGTCGCGGCACAGGTGCGTGTTATTTTTTATTACATGAAAGAGAGCTTTCGGTTTTTCGTGACGCCCGTCTCTTATATTACTTTTTTCCAGATGTCGAATTCCAGGTGTAATTTGGAAGCAATTTTCGGAGACCACGATCGGCATGAGCCGCTTGTAAACGCGAATTTCGCTTTTTAATTGAAAAATATTCCGGCTTCTGCAGATGGCGAAATGATCTATTCGCTTTTCACCTTTGAGGATGTTAAAAGTAAGTTTGAGTCATCGTGGCTGCTCGCCCGTGTTGTTATTGACAAACGCACGGCGAATTAATAATATTGCTGAGCTTCCTTTGTTGGAAATATTTGAGGCAAATGAGGCACACAATGCAAATAGCAACGTGCATTTCTCTCGCATAACGACCGGCGAACACTCCTTCCGCATTTGCATAGAAAAACTTTAACAACTTTGGCTCACACAATGAGACCACCGCCGAGAATGAATTTCTCTGTTTAGCACCTGCAAGCGAGAAAGAAAATGCACTGAAAGTTTTATTTTACGTTTCCAATTTTGTGCTAATTATTTTTAATGCAATTTTGTTAGGATTTCTGGAAACGGTTTTCAGATAGGATCAGATTAAAAAAAATTAAACTTTAAAATTGCCAGTAGAAAAAATTTGATAACTAATATTTTACAAACTGCAAAAATAATTCTTTCCCAAAAGTGTTTTTTTTTTCTTTTTTTTTTTACCAAATTTGATCTGACCAATTTTAAAAGCTAATAAAAACTGTAGATAAATTAAAACGGCAAAACAGTAAAAAAAGGATTAAAATGCGAAATGAGGGCCTCAGTCCTATGCGTCAAGTTTTGCTTTGAGCATTCTACTCTCTCGTCGTCTCTATCAAGTTGCTGCTGCAAATTCCGCCCGGAGGTCTAGGACATTAGCACCGATTTTAATTCTCACAACCTTGGCCGAGACCAGGGAAATTACGCCTTTGTATTTGCTCTCACACACAAATCCATTTGTCATCAGGAATTTCACCTTCGGCGGTGCTTCGGGTGTGGATTTGGATTTCGCAGGCGAGCTGAATGGGCGATGATATCACGGAATTTGGCTTAATAATCAAGCACCACACAAACAGGTGCTTGCGAATTTCCATGAGAGAGATTTGACCTCTTGTCTTATATTTGTTTTTAACTGTTAAAGTAAATCTTTCTTGTGGCATAAAAGTTTAATTTAGCCATAAAAAGATTATTATTGTATTTTCTGTAGTTTGCCTAGTTGTTATCTAATTTTTACATTTTATTTCTAGGTTTAGCTGATATTTTTAATTTTATTGGTGGTTATTAAAATTAAAAAAAAAATCTGCTTAGAATATTAAATATT